TTATCCACTTTGCCCTGAGTAATGAGGTTAAGGTATGACTCTTTCACCATGTAAATATCCTTGTAGCATGTTGATGTGTGCACACAAAAGACTTTCCTTAGACGCTCTAACAACCCATCAAAGAGGTGCCACAACAAGCACATCTTCCCCTTATCACCTGGGAGGTTGAAAGTAAGTTGAGACCTGCTGAGAACAAAGGATTCTGCAAATCCTTTAAACAAATCAAAAAGCATGAAGCGTGCTCAACAACAATCTCAGTCTACATCCGACCAAAAGACTTTGAGGTTTGTTTCAAAACTCTCTGTGTGTGCACATCAATGTGCTACATGGATATTTACAAGGTGTTTGCAATGACTTTATATTCAGGAGTACATCAACTTCCACTTTGAATGTGGGTGTGGCTATATGTTTCTGTTTGCAAGTAATTATATAGCTGTACCAACCCGACAGGAAAAAATGTAAATGCAAATGCCATGGTATACAATGTGGTGAATCCAAAACAGAATCATGATTGTTGTGCCAGTTTCTCAATTGTAATGATGATGACAAAGATATGAGCCTTTTCAAAACTTGGACAAATGGAGCAACCAGATTACATAATTCAATTGAGCATATTCTCAATTCAGATCAAGAAAGATTAACAGAGCAACATAAAACAATGTGGACAAAAACTGGCTCTATAGAGTAACACAACTGGTAGTGGACCATACAGCTGTGTTGTTGCCCAACAGCAACATGTTGCACACTTTTTGAAACACATTGACACATTGTTGACTTAGGCTGGCTCTGTGTCACTTGTAAATAGAAAGCAATCCACATCAAATTCTGAAATATATTATGCTGCATTGACATGCAACCAATTTTCCCTCAAGAACTTTTCCTCCTGGAGTAATATTTAAGCCAGAATATCCTCCAGCTTTGTTTGGAAATTATTCCCAGATGGGCCCTTTATATGAAAGCGGTGCCTGCCGCCAAACTTGGCTAGCTGTTGTTATCAGATAAAATAGCATACATATGGCAATCAGGGAATACAATGAGCACCTGAGGCAGGTAAGACAGATACATATTGATTTGACAAGTTTATCACAAAGGCTTGGTGCATCATCAGTGAGGGCTTTGCTTTATTGATTAGAAAATTTTAAGCAACCACACCTATATTTTATTTATAAGTCTTGCTGTTTGTGTGTTGTCATAGACAACTATGTTTGTATATGTATTGCTTCTGGACTACTCCTATAATAATAAACAAAATACAGTATGTAATATACTGTGACAAAACAATACTTGAGTTACTCTGATATTGAAACCATTAGGTGGTTAGCGGTTAGGGATTAGGCTTAGAGGGTTAGGCTTAGGATGAGGATATAATTTCCCTGTCCCTAGGGTATTCAAAATTCACTTTCTTCACAATGACCATCATTCCTCCCAAAATTTGATCCCACCACATTGAGAACTCCCAAGCAGCATGCCCTCCATACCCCCGCCTCATCCCTATCCTGTGTCTTGCTGCCAGTAGTAAATATCTCTCTCAGATTGTTTTGATTTGAGCTTAGTTGCCTCGACTGTGTAATATACTTGGTCCAGCGCTGAGTTGATCATACTCTATTCAGTGATCAACATGAGGTTATGATTTAGATTTTGCTGGATTGACATTCAAACAATTGGCCTGAACATTGAAGCTTGCCTCCTTGGGTAATGTTTGAGCCCGCATAGCCTCCAGCATGCTTTGCAAATCAATCTAAGATGAGCCCTAACAAGTGCGGCGCCCGCCGCTCAATTTGGCTAGTCATTTTATAAAATTTGCTTTGATGTTGAAGGACAGTACCCGAAAATATTGTCAACTATGCAGTTCACATGATAAGATAACACCAATGAAGTGGGAATAAATTGAATTCTCCATCGATATATAATTAGGCCGTTGCTATTTGCCGCCCACATGAAATCCATGTAGGCGCTGTCCAAAATACGCCTACATGGATGTTTTCCGCCAAAAAGCGCAGGCGCTTTTTTCTTTTTTAAATGACGCCTACAGGCTGAAAAACCAATGTAGGCGTCATTTGTGTACGCCTACATTCTATTTTTAGAATGTAGGCGCTCGAAAAAAGCGCCTACATTTAATTTGGGCTATGTAGGCGCTTTTTTTAAGCACCTACATGGAAAAAACAATGTAGGCGCTTTCAAAAAGCGCCTACATTCCCCCAAAAAAAGATGTAGGCGCTTTTTTTGAGCGCCTACATTCCCTCCTCTGTAAGTAGGCGGTGGCAAATGAGCACCTGCTATGTAGGCGCTTTGAAATTACGCCTACATGGTTCCTGGGGCATATAGGAGTAATTTCAAAGCGCCTACATAGTTTTTTTAGCCCAAATCAGCGCCTACATCCAGTTGTGCAAATGTAGGCGCTACAAATCCAGCTTCATAACCCCTCAGCAGGGTAATGAAGCCCCATTTTGATGTCCAAAACGCAGTTTGGCCTTGAAATGAGTGCACCGGAGGACGGAAAACGCATTTCGGACTCGAAATGAGAGAACTGGAGGACGGAAAAGACCAAAAACGCAGTTTGGCCTTGAAATGAGTGCACTGGAGGACGGAAAACGCATTTTGGACTCGAAATGAGAGAACTGGAGGACGGAAAAGACCAAAAACGCAGTTTGGCCTCGAAATGAGTGCACCGGAGGACGGAAAAAACGCAGTTTGGCCTCGAAATGAGTGCACCGGAGGACGGAAAACACATTTTGGACTCGAAATGAGAGAACCGGAGGACAGAAAAGACCAAAAACGCAGTTGTGTTATTGTATTTGAAGTTTAATACAATCTTTCATCTCAACATGAAGGGGATCAGATTATCATAATTCAGAAATAGAAGGTTTGTAAATAACTTCCTCAAATATATCAATCAAATTTTAACAAAAAAACCCCATTCTGAAATTATTACACAAAAAAAAGAAATACAAATTAATCAATAACAACAACTTTTCGTCTTTTTGAACTTCTGGTGGTAACTCCTTCCTTTAATTCCTTCAATTTCTCTATTTCCTCCATCTTTCTTTCCCATAAAGCAAAACATTGTTTGAGGAAACCGTCATTTGTCCACCCAGCAGCATTTCTTCCAGCCATTGAAAGCCAAATTTTATGCTGATCTTTCCATAGAGAAGGGTTTGGAAAAGGTGAAGGAGAATCAGAAGAAAAAGAAATAGAAACCCAATGACCATTTGCGACAAAACCAAGAGCTATAGGCTTATTAGTGGAATTCTTTTTGGAAGAAAATGGGAAAGTCATACAGTGATGATGAGTGGTACTCATGATCACAACAGGCCTTGAACAAGCATTTGCTGCAATTGGACCCATAGTGGTTGATTCAAACCAGTTATATTTGCTGACAGGTTCATCTGTATAAGTTTCAATTTTTTCTGATATGTCTTGAATGTATCTTTCAGTTGCCAGTTCTTGTTTTTCTTGAATTTGAGCCTTGGTGAGTGACTTTTTAGCTTTCGTAGAACCACTCTTCTGCCAATAAAACTTAAGATATTCTTTATGGTGTATGTCTAGATCTTCAACCATCTTTTGTCTAATAGATTTCTGAGCACCTTTTTCGTGTTGACCAAGAGCATGAGCTATAGCGTGAAATCCACAATGTCCATCCCCAGGAGGATCATAAATAGAAGTAACATAAGGTCTAACAAGTTCTAATAATTGATTGTGATACTCTTCAATCTTGTGAGGATCTTGATAATGATTTAAATGATAAAACTCTTGATCATTATCATAATCAGCTTTAATAATTTCTTCATTATAAGTTAAAGCTTTCATCATTTCTGCTTCTTCTTGTTCTGATTTTAAATCATCAATAATATAAAGGCACGAGGCCTCACAACCAAGCTTCGTTACATGTGCCATGCCAGACAGACCCTCAGTGCTAGGCCTCACAACCAAGCTTTGTTACATGTGCCATGCCAGACAGAACCTCAGTGCTACACCCCTCGATATTACTTATACAGCGGCAGTATCAAATCCATATGCTCCAACTGAGTCCATCAACAATACCCATTCTGTACCACCCTGATCCATACAACGAAGTGATAGACCTCCATGTCGCTCCACGCGGCACTTTCATTCATTCACATCCCCTGTAAACACCACAACAGTTGTCATCCTCAACCTCGGATTCCGTACCACCCCATTAACCAAACGCAATCACAACTACACCAACCGAATACTCATAATCGTCTCTCCCGCCATGCCATCAACACCCAGGAATCCTCATTCAATTCGATTTTCACCCCACCTTGGAACCAACACCGCGCTCGCCCGTTAACATCACCGGACTGGACGATCTACCTATGATACCTTTCGTCATTCTATTTCGCCGCGTCCAGCCGCGAGGTGAGGCTTCTCCGTCAGTGTCAAACCCAACCAAGCACCCTGCGTGTTTTTACAATGCTCAGCCTATGAAACTGATCCTATTCGCAAACCACCATCCTGTGATCCTTTTATACGACAGGACAAATTTCCAAGCGGACTGATCCTATAGCAACTCTCGACATCGCAGCAACTGGCTTCAGGCAAGACTCATATCCATCTCAATTTCCATCCCAAATTCAAATTGAATACTGTCATCGTGATCCTTTTTCAAATGGAACTACACTCCCATACTCGCTTCCCATTACGTTTCAGCAGCGTTTTTTGGACTAGGTCGGAGGTATGCAACCTCAAAACTCAATACATACCCTTCATGATCTGACCAATGTCTTCAGTTCAATATCCTACATTTCCCGAAGAAAAGCGAGCTGAGCCACTTCAAAAGTGATGTTCTTACCCAAACCGATACTCTCTCAGCAGTAGAAATTCTTATAGCCACTCAGACCCTCAATTCTGAAATTAAACCAAATCAAGCCTATAAAATAGAAGGACCCATCGGCGCCTCATACCGTAATATACCTGTCTTGACCGAAGAACCCGCCTTTACTATTGGTTTGGATCACGCGGAAGTGCGCCTCAACTGTATGGCGAACAAAGTCTTGGTACAAGGTGTAGGGTTAATTCAGGAGTGGTTCATCCAACACACATCCAACCCTACTTCCTCAACTGAAGTCATCAGAGTTCTGCATCGGGGCCGAGATAACGTTGTGAGTTACTCTTTACTCCTGACTAGAAATAATGCTAACCATTTTTGGTCAGACAAAAAAAAATGTAGATCTTCAAGCTTGCTACAGCATCGATCCATACATTTCGACACAGCTGAGCATCAACTCGCTCTCCGTCGGTAATCTAATCAGCTTGCGAGGAAATGTTGTTGGGTACCAATCTGAAAACAACGTATGGGAGATCAATGTGAGCAACAAGGCCAGTCCACCAGTAAAACCCGGTCTGACCAATTGATTCTTAGACTTCTGAAATCCAGCTTATAAGTTCCAAAATTCAACAGAGGCGCAGTCAACGCCAACGTGGTCTCGCCCCCCTTTAACGTGAGCATAGATCGATCCCAGGCGGCTTTGATACACGTTCGTCGGCACACTCCAATTCAAAAGGACACACTTTGGGTGAAGGCTTTTGTAATTGGACCATGTTGGTTTCATGCATAAGCTGGATGCCTAGGATGAAGGTGTATTTGTTCTATCATCCCAGGAAGAGAGATCATTTGTAGTCACATGTTTCATACGCTCAGATAATCTAGATTGAAACTAACCTCACAATGGGAATGTCGTACAAGTGCGTCAATTGTCATAGTCCGTGAAAGTGTATAATGCTGAGTGTTAAATGTACTGTCATTGATGCGCTCAGGCTACCAGTCCCATACCATCTGTCTTTGTCTTGCAGCGTCATAATGTAGGCAGCGAGCTTTGTTGCACAAAGACTTCAGCCCATAACGTTCCGAAACCCGATGCCTGTCCAATACATTCTTGAACATTTCCCACGTCGAGAAAAAACTAAGCATATGCTGTTTATACTACCGGCGCAGACCCGAGATGATACTCAATGGGCCTCGGATCCCCGGGGCACACGGAGGTCTTTCGTAGCTCTGATATTATCCAACCCACGCTCTGGAAAGCTGTGCTACGGCCTTCTCCACGTTCCAAGTCGATTCTAGACTCGATCACCATTGTGGACCAGATCCAGGTCATTATCGAGGCGTTTCCAATGCTTCGGACCACCTGGGCGACTTCGGCCCATAGATCTCGGGCCCTGGACCAGCCAGACGTAATCACAGGGGGAAAAATAAAAGCTCACATAGATGTGAGCAGAGGGTACCTTCCTGATAACTCCAAAAATGTTTCAATTTCCTTCAGATTCTTTCAATTCACCATTTTGGTGGTGCCAAAGTGCTCAGCCTGTAATACTTAGGTATTGCTTGAGTTTGCTAAAGCATGCTCATCTTCATCTTGGATGAGCCTCTCTTGAGCATGGATCATCCATTGGATGAGTGCTCAGGACCCAGCTGACACATCACTGTATACTCAGAATCACCTTCAGAAGGATCCAAAGGATGTCACTGAGTATTAGCTGAGGGGCTGCTCAGCTCAGCGCAGCTGCTCAGCTAGTCCTCAGTGGTATTCCTGGGATCAGGAGGATCCAAATGATGTCACTGAGTATTGGCTGAGGGGCTGCTCAGCTATTCCTCAGTGGCATTCCTGGGATCAGAAGTATCCAAAGGATGTCACTGAGTATTGGCTGAGGGGCTGCACAGTTCAACTCAGCTGCTCACCTAGTCCTCAGTGCCATTCCTGGGATCAGAATTATACAAAGGGATGGTTCCCTTTGTGTTTTTCACATTTGATTGGGTCTCTCACCGCTCAATCACATTTGGTCACTTGACTGTGCAGGCTGAGCATTGGAGGGCCCAAGATGACCTGAGAAGATGATCTAGCCCTCCCTCAGGCTTCTTGGTTGAGGGATAAAGCCTGAGGAATGCCTAACTCATCGGCTCAGGACATGCTGACTATTTGATCAGATGATGAGCTGAAAGAAAACTGGAGGAAAATCGTAAGAAATTTGGAAACAAGCTGGAAACAATCTTGGAGAAACCTCCAAACTTTCTCTGCTCACATCTATGTGAGCTTCTGTTTTTCCCCCTGTGAATGATCACTTCTACGACTACGCCATACAATGCACTTGATGCCAGCCACGTTGCCTCGATATTGAGACGGGATAGCGGTATGCCGGTCGAACTTTGTCACAAGCGACGACCAACGCTTGCCACGCTTGGCCAAGCAGCAACAGCACAGGTCTATGGAATTCACGCTCAAACACTATATAACCACGTACGTAGCTTCGACATGACAAGTCTCCATCACATCTTTCCAATCTCTATACTCACCACAAACTGTAGTTTTTTAGCGGACGGATTCAAAAACTTCTACACTCCTCTTCTTCGTATTGCCCATTTGTCACACAATAGCATAAAAATTGAACCTCAAGAGGCACTGCAGGACGATGTCAACCGGTTCTAACGCTCCTGTGAAAAAGTCACATCCTTTCAATATTTCGGGCGTGGTCGAAGTATCAGAGATAGTGAGTCTGTTGCCTGTCGGAGGGCTTCCACGGGCTAACCATTGTCTCCAGCTCGCTCCATTAAACGGTCAGAAATTTACGTACCGGAACGCCACGGTCTCAATAACTTGCAACGGGCTCAACAACGACAATGAGCGAGAATATGACGGTATCCTCACCGGCTACTCGACCGCCGAGCACGAGGTTTTAGATGAACACTGCTATTCGATCAAGGGTAGGATGCTGCCATCGTCTGAGACCGCCGACTTCCAAATCTATTTCGACCCAGTGCACAAGATTGACGTCGGGGACAGCAATACCTTTGCTGGGACACTGCACGACAATACCGCAGCGAGCGGCTTCGGTATCGTTGGTGCTAAGGCTGAGATACCAGATGTGGAGTCGGACTCTGTGGTGTTGGTGTTCGTCATGAAGCACACCGATTATCTCCCTGAAGTACGTAGATTGTAATCATCCTCCTTTCTGAGGGGTACCCGACTGACATCAAAACAGAACAAATCCACAGTCGAATTTGAGGTCGAATACCGGATGAGACCGACCCCGAACTTAAAAAAAACCCAGGGTTTGGTTCAAGAGGGTAAAGAGACTTTGGTCCACGGGTACATTGTGGATTGGAGCGAAGAGCATCATCGTTGGATTGTTGACGTCAGGTTGTCTTTCTAATTCTCCGCATCAAGTCCGTTCTGATACCGTCACTTTCTCTGGATTGAGTGAGCAGGTTACTGGCCTTAATGTTGGGAGCGGCCATCAAGTTGTGTCGAAAAAGAAAGTCGGCACCGGCAGCCAAGTCACGGCGACGGGACGTGTTAAGCCAGCCAAGTAAGTTCCCGTTAATCAACTTTACTTCATCTGCTAACATGGACCGCCTAGACATAATTCCAGTCCGATAAAGCTAGTTCCAGCAACCCCTAAGAAACGGGCTGCTCCCGCCACCAAAGCCAAAGCTCGGGCGGCCAACCAAGCAAAGGCGAAGCCGGATATTGATCAAGGCGAGGAAGCTGAACTCGAGCAGGAAGAGCTCCCTTTGCCACAGCCGAAGAAACGTGCTGCAGCCGTCAATAAGGGTAAGGCACGCGCTGCACCGCAGGTTGAGCTGGACGACGAGGTCGGCGAGGATTTTTTTGATGACGATCTCGGCGACGACATCAAACCTCCGCAACAGGGTTCGAGTACTGGACTGGGTATCAAGGCTGGGAGGCAACCGAAGCGGGCACGGGCCTCTTGATTCCTGATCATTGATACGTCATGTTGTGTCTTCTGCAATGCCCGGTGCTGTCCTTTGATGAGGGCGGTTACATTTATGTATATAGTTGTATCTTTTGAACCGCAATGAAACGGGCCCGAATATTGACTTGCTTTCTGATCAAGACGGTTGAATCGGCAACGCCATGAGCCCGGGCTGGCCCTTTGCACTGCTTTGTTCATCTCATGTCTCTCGCCCAGATCACTCATCGCAACCGCCGAGCCAATCAAAATCGATGAACCCGGCCTAAAAAAAACCAGCCTGGGTCAAGGAGATGCAAGAGAATGATTAAAAGTCGTTTGAAGTATAAGAATGAGTATATGGTGTCTCATAACTGTAGGAAGGACCGCAACTAATCATTGCTTTTTGACAAAACGATTTATCGAAACCCATCCAAGACTCAGCCGAAACCGCTAGCCGAACTTCAGCTCACTCTAACATCATCCGACTCTGTAATGGCCTCGATATATCCCACAGCCCCAAACGGTCCGGCAGTCAGCAATACGGCCCAATTGTCAGAGCAGAGTCTAATCAAACGGTTTCCTGGTGAAATGCCGTTGCATTTGGGACCGTGTAATGATGCTTGCATGGACTGTGGCGCCTTACACTGGAAGAGCGAAAGGACCCAGGATGACTGGAAGTCAGACCGGGCGACGTTCTCAGCCTGCTGCCAAAAATGGGCGGTGGCGTTGCCAAGCGATGGTTTGGAAAACACATTGACCCCAGCTTTTGTTCAAGCACTCTTTACTGGTGATGACCCAGGTGAGCATCTTGGTTAATGGACGAGGTCTCACACTGATCCCTTGGTTCTCATAAAGATGCGAAACACTTCCGGAAACACATCAGAGCGTACAATAACTCTCTCTCTTTCACTTCGAACGGGGTCGACACGGACAAGTCCGTCATGGGGAATGGTGGGGCATGGACTTACCGCATTTTCGGACAATTGAGCCATTGCATTGGTGCGCTGCTTCCTCCGGATGGGCAGCCCAAGAAATTTGCACAGATATTTATGAATGGTGATCAAGCAGATTGCGAAGCCGCTGATCGATCACGAGCAGCGGGGGGTGGTCTTCGCCCTCAAATATTAAAGCAGTTCCAAAGATTCCTGTACTCGACTAACCCTTTCGCCAAGATGTATAAATCGGCTGAACAGATCATGAATGGTGTTGAAGTCAAGACGATAAAAATCAAGTCGTTGGCAATCAGCGGACGAGACAAAAATCGTTACAACTATCCGACGTGCAATCAGGTTGCAGCTGTAGTCCAAGGGGATGGGAATGTTGGGGATAAGGACCGTGATGTCATCTTGCATAGGAAGAGTGGCCTCCTTAAACGGATCTCCGAATTGAACACTACGTACTTTGCACTACGTTATCCAATCTTCTTCATGCATGGTTCCCATGGATGGGATGAGCACTTTCGAAACCCGGCATCACGTCGTAAGTGCTGCGTTTCACTGCCGGACGCTGCTTCCGTAGGTTGACATCCTTTTTGGTCAGGTCCGAACGGCAAAGTGAGCAGGTCTGAACATTGCGCGTACCAACTGTTCAACCGCCTTAACAGGTTTTCAGCTGTTCTGCGTGGGGGCCGCCTGCTGCAGGAATATGCAGTGGACATGTATATATGTGTCGAAAACGCAAGACTCAAATATTTTCGCCTGAATCAACCAAGACTCCGGGCTGAGATTTACAACGGTGCAGCCGAGGCACTCCACAACGATGACTTTTCAATCGGTCGAAGCGTTATCCTGCCGTCTTCCTTTGTAGGGGGCCCGAGGGCGATGCATGAGCTATATCATGATGCTATGGCTCTGGTGAAAAGATTTGGCCATCCAAGTCTGTTCATCACGATGACGGCTAACCCAAAATGGCCCGAGATGACGGAAGCCTTACTACCTGGCCAATTACCGGAAGATCGGCCAGACCTGTTGTCGCGTATTTTCTATTTGAAGTTGCAAGAAATGCATAAGGACGTTCGAAAACGAGGAAGGCTTGGGAACTGTCTATCCGACGTCCATACCGTGGAGTTTCAAAAACGAGGAGCCCCTCACGCACACACAATCTTGATCAACGACCCAATTACAACTCCAAGGACGCCGGAGGAGGTCGATCTGATCGTCTCGGCAGTAATACCAGACCCTGACCAAGAT